GGGGGGGGCGCAACACACGTGCCCCGCCACTCCCTGCCCGGGCATGAGTCAGGCGGCAGCCGGGAGCTGCAGCGCGGCAGGGCGCTGGGGAACGGGGGCCCTGCCGTGGGGGGCTCCTCAGCGCAGGGGCACCGCCGTGGGCAAGCACTGCCCACTCAGAGGGGGCAAAACCATGCCCAGCCTTCAAGCTTTGGTCCTGGGGGTGGGACAGCATGTGCTAAATTCCAGCAGCCCTGGATGGGGAGACCTTTACACCCCAGAACAACTGGGGAGCCATCACTGGGGAGTTTTATGGATGCCCATGTCCCTAGAGCTCCTTGGGGATCCCCAGTGCCTGCTGGGTGCCGCAGCACACATGTATCCCCTCCCGGGCACCCTGGGATAGGGAGGGAAAAGACTTAGTCAGGCTATACACTGGTGAGTGAGAAGAATTTTGCTTTCAACAACAAAATTCTCTGTAAAGAGTTTGAAATTTTCAGAAGAGTATTGCTAGTAAACATAAAATTTGGAATTCGTGCACCAAGGAATAATGAATGTTATATTCTTCTCTTCTGGTATTTAGAACTATGCTTGTTTAGATGTATGTATGTATATATGCGCATATATATATATATATAATATATATATATTAAAATTACATTTCTCTTTACAAAAACAATTCAACATGGGGCCAGAGGACGGAGCCCATCGCCGAAGCCAGGGCGCAGGCACCACGGCAAGACTGGGGCGCTGGGCAGACTCCCTTTCGGGGTGTCCCCATCCCCCAAGGGGGGGCTCAGTCCAGAGTCCAGCAGCAGGTTGTGGGGGTAGGGGTGGGCACCGGGGGGTGGCCCCGCAGTGAGATGCCTGCTCCAGATTCGACACAGCTCGCCCTGTCCCCGCTGTCACCGCCTGTAGGGAGAAGAGGATATGAGCTCAGGAGGGATGATGGTGCCAGCTGGCCAAGAGCAGCATGGCATGGAGACACCACCCCCCCCAAAACCATCCGTGCCCTTACTTCTGGCGGGTGGTGCTGTAGGGATCGAGGAGGTGGGAGCTGGCCTGGGCCAGGTTCCAGTCGAACATTTCCAGCACCCGGTGGCACTCAACACGGGACTTCAGCCCCAGGCAGAAGAGCTGCTCCACCTGCAAAGGGACAGGGCACGGTATGGGGGATGACGGGGTGCCACGCTTCTCGTGGGAGCCAGGGTAGGGGGACGGGGGCATGCGGTACCTTCAGGTACTGGATGGCCCGCTGGACGCTCCAGCCGTGGTTCTGCAGGGCTGCCTGACACTCCTCGGTGGTCACACCGTGCACTGTGTCCTGCACCTGGGGGGGTGCTCATGATCAGCACCCACCACCCCCCCGGGCAGCAAGGAGCCCATGGCTGGAGCAGGGGGCCACTGGGGCTGCCCCCAGCTCTGCCCCCAGGGAGCACAGTCAGCCCGGAGCTGGGACCATCCCCAGGAACTCCAGCCCCTCCTGGCCTTGAGCGCAGACACCATGGACCCAACCCAGAGAGCCCAAACGGGACCACAGTGACAGCCACCTTCCTCCCCCTCCCCGAGGCCATGGGTAGGGCTAATTTGGGTTAAAAGGGCTTGCAGTCCCCATTTTGGAGTTGCAATGACACTTCTGCCCCACAGCATGTCTGGGAACCCCTTGTAGCCACCCCTTGAGGGCTGAAGATGGGGAAACTGAGGCACAGGGTGGGGATGGCTCTTGCCCAAGCAAGCCCCTGGCCACCACATCCTTTCTTGCCCACGGGTTCCAGGGATGCCACTTACCAGTCGGATCTTGTCAGCGGGGCGGTAGCCATCCGGGCCATCGTAGATGATCTTCTGGAGGCTGCAGGAGGCTTTCACCAGGCACTTGGGCCCAGGGTTGCTGTTGTTGGAGGAGAAGTTAGCCTTGCAGTCCGGTGGCGGCTGCTGCACCATGGGACGGACGGTGGCTGTGGTGACCAGGCGGGATGCTGGCACCTCCTCGGGGCTTTTGGCCTCCTTGAAAAACTTCTCATACTTGTCCAGGTAGGCAGGGCGCTCGGGCAGCAAGTAGTAGTGGGTGCTGCTGACCTTCTGCCCGTCCTTCACAATGGGCAGGATGCAGGGTCCCTTGGAGCAGTCTTTGCCCTGCGCCTGGATGACCTTGGGGGTGGCATACTTGGGGTCGAGGGCGAAGCTCTGTGTGGTGGGCATGGGCTTCCCTGGTGAGGTGGATAGGCAGGAGCATAGGGTGGCACGTTGCTGGGGGGAGCCCACCTGCAGGGCCATGGGGCTGGGTGTCCGGGAGGTGGGCTGTGACAACGGGTCCCGGGGGGGAATCTGGGGCGGCCGGTCTTCCTCACCCCCCGAAGCTGGGGAAAGGTCCCCCGACCAGCGCCCAGGCTCATTGCGGCGTAGGGGCCGGGGTGGGATGGGGACACGGGGCGGGATCTGGGGCTTGTCGTCAGC